TACTTTTTTACTTGCTAATATTTTGAGATGAAGGTACCATTAACATCTTGTTATTGGCACTCACATTCTTATAATGCCTATGTAAAGTTACTAGCAAACCCTGAAAGGAATGGGGTTGTTGGTCTGTCATAAGGAAGACCTGCGGGTTGTATTGAGTGTGGACTTACCATCTTTTGAATATAGTCATCTAGCTTTAGGCCTTTGCATTTCCCAGTCCCTAAAAAAATGCAACGGCCCTGAGACAGTCACCTGGAGCTACCGATATTAGAGAGGTCTCTTGTGGAGACAGTATTAACACGAAATGTTAAGTAGTGGTCCACAAGGTATGGCCTGGGTTATTGACCCTCCTATAACTGAAGCATCTACAACGTGCTTTTTCAAGTTGCAAGATTTGTGAAACTGACAGTTTGTGCAGCCAGCATTTTGAGTAATAACTAGCATTTGTATGCATTAGGGCAATGGTTGAACTGTGCATGCAAATGTGCAGTTCCTGGACCCCTTTTGTTATGGCCGAATGCCAGGCCATTCTGTCCGGAAAAGATTGGATACCATTGGTTAGCATAGGTGTTTGCTGCTAAGCCCCCCATCCCAATTTCAATGACCCATCAGTGTATTAGGAAGCCTCATTGGCCAATAGGAATAAACATGCCTGCATTTTATATCTGCAGCAATTTTGGTTTTAGCAAAGTTGCACTAATAGTAAGAGGGGCTTAACACTTGAGCCTACCCATTATGTAAGAAAGGAACGTTGGAGGGAGGTGGCAGTCTTACTTAGCCCTCCCTCCCCTCATAATGGTCAGTGGCAGTATTAATTAACTAATCCCTCCATATTGGTGGTCAATAGCTGTGTTAATTAACCTCTTACCCCTCCATCCCACATAAATGGTTAGTGGCAATGCAGATACATGAATTAACCATGCCATACACTGACATTTCCTGCTGTGCAGCTGCAGACAGACCCTCTTGGGGGTAGGGGTTTGAACCTCCATAACCCTCACATATCGACACCCTTTATCTGGGGAAGGATCTGTGCATAGCGAGCCACAAATGTCCTGAAAAGGGCCTTATTCTAAACACACACACACATAAACACACACAATGTTAAACACACAAAATGTAGAAAAAAAGCACAGGCAGATAAATGGCTGCACATTTCTAAATGTTTATTTTTCACAGAATTTATGTTATATTTTGTTATCTTTATTTTACAAGCACTGTACATATCTTTGGTCTGCACTGTACATACTGTATCTTAGTCCATTGTAAACTTTCCTTACATTAACAGGGAAACAGCAATTTTCCATCTAATGGAAACTTTCAATTTTTTCCAGTTAAAACATAAAAAGTACAAATAGCATACAAATTTCAACATTACACTACCGACATTTTAGATTAAATACAAAAAATACACAGAAAATATAAAGGGATGAAAAAGAGTATAAAAAAAAACCACGGAGGTTGATTTACTAAAACTGGAGAGTGTTAGATCTGGTGGAGCTGTGCATGATAGCCAATCAGCTTCGAGTTTTTCAGCTTGTTCAATTTAAGCTTTGACAAAGTAACCCGGAAGCTGATTGGCTTTCTATGCAGAGCTGCACCAGATTTTGCACTCTCCAGTTTTAGCAAATCAACCCCAAAAGGGCACACTTTCTTTATCTTCATAGCAAGTAGTGCATCTGGAAGTCTCAAAAAAAAGCCTTTACTTTCTGTTAGGGAGTCTATCAAAAATAAAATGTACTTAGAGGAATTCTTTATTGAGCTGCAACAACACCTTACTCTTGAGTAAGCTGTCTCTGGAAATAGGTGTAAGGCACTCCTTGGGAACCATTTCTACGATGCAAAAAAAAAAAAAAAAAACCCAAAACAAATCTTTTGTCTTTACCACTCAAATTTGCTTCCTTGCTTGCTTGTCAGGTAGGACAGACGAGTTATATGAGCACATGAAACCGGTTGCCACAGAATGACTTGAAGCTATTTTTCTTCAGGGTAATCTGGATCAAAGCAAAAATCTGCAGCTAGGCAGAAACATTCATTAAAAACTATGTGAGCGGCCTTGAAGTTGTACCGGTTTTCCCACCGCTGAGAGGCTACTGTATATACTGTCCACAAAGCACACATTCATATGCCATTTTTAAGATTGGTTCTGAGATTATTCAATGCAAGTGCTTTCAGAGATGCCATCCAAGTGCTGGCATCCTCTATGAGCATGATTGTGACTTCACAGGAAGCTTTTTAAAATGCTGGTTGGTGCAGTGCTCATCCACTGTAGGCAGCTTTAAAACGCTAACAAGATGGCGGAAAATACATTTTCATAGCTTCTGCTTCCCAGATGTTGGTCATCTACCAAGCCCAGTCAAGCACAAGTCTGTAATGTCATGTCAACTTAAAGCATTTATTTATCAACATACACACAAGAGATGGTTCCTGAACCAGGGCATGCAGCCGCTTAGGGTTGTACACATGCCAAAGCAAAAATTAAACAGCATCTCGCATTTTGCAAGAGTTATCACCACTAAACGTGACCCATGCATGTCTACTGGGCTGTGCTGCAACCACAAGCAATGCACATGATAATAACACAGTGGTGCCACATTGAAAGCTTTAAATCAGAATTGAGGAAGCAACATTCTGCCACCTTACCGCCTGTCAACCGCAGATCGCTTTTCAGTAGCATATGTGAACGAGCTAAAAAAGCCCTAAATTTCCACAATGAAGAAAACTATTCAAGAGAGCTGTTTGTGTGTCACATTGTTACACTGATCCATATACATAAATTTACCTAATTAGTGAACTGCTGCTCATATGAATGCACTTCTCTTTGCGATAGAATCATTTTAATCAAACTTTATATTCTCAAATGATGTCACATTCAATCCCTGCGACATATATGCTCCACGCCTTCCCCCAACCTATTGATAAGGCTGACAGCACCAACCAGGGACGGATTATGTGTAGAAAAGAAACACAACAATAAAAAAGGTTCACATTTCAGCATTTACATTTACGTTCTATAAAATCATTTTGATCTACGCATTCCCTAATATTTACATTAGAGAAGTATAATGTATATACTGGGAAAAATATCAGTGTTGGAGTCCCTTTAACTCCGTCACTAGTTAACAGACCTGGTTTTCAAGTAACCTTTCCTTTTAGAAAACTAAACCATGAAAAAAATGTACTAGAAACAAGACAAACTGCTGCCAGTAATGCAAAGCATTTCTAGTAAGTTATTTGTGTTCACATCACCTCTGACCGATTGTGTTATTTTCTATACATACAACCCCCCCCCCCCCCCCCTGTTTTTTTCTTGTTTTTTGTTTTTATGCTTCATGTTTGTTTTCTTGCTCTAATGTGTCTTCAATGATTTCACACTCACCTGTCTATGGGTCATTTTTACCTATTAAGCCATATTAATAGGTTTTCATAGGTAATTACCCATGGGTAATTTTTTTAACCTATATACCTATATTAATAAATTTCATCATCTTCTTCATTTTTGCTTAAAGCATTAGTAAACTCCACTGTGAAATTTTTTATTTTTGCCCCCCCCCAGGTAGATTCTGCCATAATGTGCTAGTATGCTGCATGGCATATTAGTACATTATGGCAGACTTTCCTGTCAAACGGTGCCCTCCAGTTCTGCAGTGGGATCGATGTGGAGAGCCCCCGGTGCTTCCATCTTCACCTGATCTTCCTTTTGGGTCCCATGCCTTCAGCTTGGTGATAGGCCGGGCCACAATGACGTCACTCCCCGTGCATGCGCATGAGAGTCACATCGCCGCATCACAGATCGCAGCCGTAAATGTTCGCTGAGCTGTGCATGCGCGGCATGGTGTACATGACAGCTGACAGACAAGAGGATGCATTTATGGCAGAAGAGACCAGTAGGGTCTCTTCTGTCATAAATACTCTGCATGTCAGCAACTTTTTGGAAATTGACTTTACTCTTACTTTAATATTTTTCTATTATATTACTGTATTCTTTTTTTGATTGATATGTATTCATTCAGGGTTTTTTTTTTTTTTTTATTTATATATATATATATATATATATATATATCTTGTATTTGATTGTATGTCCAGTCTATCTTTTCATACAATCTATGCTTTACGTGTCAACATTATTCCTATGTTTTCTAAGTAATCCACTACTCTTAAAGTGGTAGTAAACTTCACATTTTTATTTAGACTTTTATAATAAGGCTTACCTGTAGGTACAGTATATATCTCCTAAACATGCACCGTTTAGGAGATATTTCGTTTTAGTAGCTGTTGGTGATGTCACCAGCACATACGCATGCCAGCCAGAGAGAGCTTTGAGCCGTGACCTTCATGCACATGTTCAGAAGTGAAGTCATTGAGGCTCGGCCATTAAAACGGCCAGAGTCCGTGATCCGGGAAGGAAGACCGAGTGAAGATTGAAGCCATGTCAGTGGTGACAGCGCGCCGCTGGAGGGCTCCGTTTTAAGGTACATCTGTCATAATGTGCTAGCATGCAATGCAACCTAGCACATTATGACATTATCCTGCTTATAGTTTATAATTTAAAGACGGAAACGTCATCATGTTTACATGGGCTATAAGATAGTAATATGGACAAAGTCCAAAGTGCTGGATCTGACATGACATCAAAGTCAGTGCAAATCACTAGAACTCTGTCAAGGTTACTGCAAAGAAAGGAAATAGTATCTATTCTACAAGGCTCTGTCTGTTTACAGCAGAAACTACATTTGTACAATATTCTGGTTTTCCAAATTTACAAGGTAGAGCAACAGGTGTTGCAAACGGGACTGAATACAAACGAGATGAGGGGACCATTAATATAAAAAGTAAAAATTGGGATATAGAAATGGTTTAAATAGCTTGGTCTGCAAGGAAAATTAATAGTATCAATTCTACAAGGCTCTGGCTATTTACAACAGAAATTACATTTCTACAAAACTCTGGTTTTCCAGATTTAAACAAAAGAAATGAGGAGAACATAACAGATTCCACACATTTTACTCAGTCACAGACTTGGCTAAGTTTCTTGGACGATCCACCTATGGAGAGAGGAAATGAGAGGAAGGTATTGGTCACTCAAGCCAGGGTTGATATAGATCACCCAGAATCCTCTGTTAAACTCCCAACAAGAAAGCTGCCCTACAGGTACCAACAACTTACATCATATCCTCTGAGAACGGCAAGATGGAAGGCAAGGAGCTGCAGGGGGATCACACTCAGTATTCCTTGAAGACAGTCCACTGTGTGAGGAACCCTAATTGTACGTTTGACGCTGTTAATCGTTTCGGTGTCCTCCTTGTCACAGATCACAACTGGACGCCCCTATTACAATTTGGAAAATGAATATGGTAACTTATAGCTTATGAAGCAAGAGCATTTATATAAAGCTTTATTTATCCATGCTTTGGTCTTTGACCTACCTGTCTAGCTACCACTTGCTGCAGAGCATTCTGACACTTGGTGTAGGCATGATCCCTCATTATAATCATGATGACTGGCATAAGTCTGTCTATCAAGGCCAGCGGACCATGCTTCAGCTCCCCAGCCAAGATTCCTTCCGAATGCATATAAGTGATTTCCTTAATTTTCTGCAAATTAAAAAAAACAAAGTTACTATTACTAAGTGTTAAACAACTGTGCAAGACAGATCTCCGTATAAAAAGACTCCAAAATTTAACCCCAAATGCAAATTTTTACATAAATAAATAAATGAATGAAGAACACACAATTTTAGTGGAAAAGAAGACTAAAGTTGTCATTACATAACAGACACATGTGAAAGAACAGGAATCTATGTCCTGTTGTGTGGCCATTACTCCTTCTAATCTCCCAGCAGGGCAGGTCTGATTTATGACATCATGCAAAAGGAATTTCCCCTAGTTGCCCTATGCAGACTCTGATGTTAAGGGGATGAGTGGGTACAGACACCAAGGGGTTGATTTACTAAAATTGGAGAATGATAAATCTGGTGGAGCTGTGTATCCCCCTAGTTGCCCTATGTAGACTCTGATGTTAAGGGGATGAGTGGGTACAGACACCAAGGGGTTGATTTACTAACACCGGAGAGTGATAAATCTTGTGGAGCTGTGCATGGTAGCCAATCAGCTTCTAACTTTAACTTGTTCAATTAAGCTATGTAAAAAAAAAGACCTGGAAGCCGACTGGTTACTATGCAAAGCTGCACCAGATTTTGCACTCTCCAGTTTTAGTAAATCAACCCCCAAGTGTCATGTCCTAGACTGCACCTTATCTGCACCCATATTTCTAAGAAAAAAATGTGAATGTTCATGACTTATTTAGTGATTTTACCAGTCATTATTAAAAAAAAATCCTGTTTTCCATTAGATTAGAGCTCTTGAGCATATGACATTTGTTCTGAGCAGGACACCACAGTCATCATTTTAGCAAAGAATAGCTTCAGATGCTACCCCAATAATTAACGAAATTCATAACAAAAGAAACGAAAAAATTAAAAACAAAAGGGTGAAAATGACTAGCACATTATCTTCAGCACTTTATTAAAGGGTAAAAGATACAAAATATACTCACAAACCCAGTGAGAATGATAGCATATCATAAATCCAGAAACCAGAAGCCAGCCCTCAAACCCCACAGGTCCAAATGGACCAGCTGAAGTGTTTTGGGGGACAAACCCCCTTCCTCTTGCTCTGAGGAAGGCATCTTGTCCCCTGAAACACGTCAGCTGGTATCATCATGTCATGACAAGAGAAAGCCTGGGAGGCTTCAACCTACCAAAGCACCTTCCAGACAGGTTGCATAGTGATATCCACGACCCATGATTAAAACAGATTTCTGTTGGTACAGTTCAGCTGCCAGCTTCTGAATCTCATCATTAAGGCTAAGTACTTCCCTAATGTGATCTGAGACAGAAAAGAAAAGACAAAAATGTCATAAGCAAAGCAAGCATTGTCATAATACATACTGTATATTGGTAATGTTAGATGTTAAAGGAAAATTGGTAGACTCTATAAAATACATTTTACCTTACAAACTGGACAAACGCAGTGAGTAAATTGGTCACCTGATCAATTAATTCCTGCACATAGGGCATCTCTAGGCTTGGGTCTCTGTCAGATTGCTGAACACCAGTTATAATAAAACAGCCCTGTGCTCAGAGAAATGGTTCAGTCTGGCGACACACTCACAATTCCTGCTAAATCTGCCAAAATTCAAGCCATTGATGGCCCTGTTAGCACCCCTCAACTCAACAATAGTCAATTTAAAAATCAACTGAGCTGGGTGGAAATTTTTCAGATGAACAGCGGCTGCATCCTCTCAGATGTAGTCCCTGTTCGGGTATTCAGGCAGTTGCAGATGCAGCAGCTATTTGAGTGCAATAGCCAGCAGTGGAGATTCCTCTATCCACCCTGTTTTAGCATGGAAGGGGAAATAAACAAATTTTTCTGAATGAGAGAACAAAGTAAAATTGGGCAGCACAGTTGCTAAGTTGTTAGCACTTCTGCCTGGCAGTACCAGTGTCATCGGTTCAAACCCCAACCACAGCACCACCTGCCTGGAGTTTGCATGTTCTCCCTGTGCCTGCATGGGTTTCCTCCGGGTACTCCAGTTTCCTTCCACACTCCAAAGACAAGCTGGTAGGTTAATTGGATCCTGTCTAAATTGGCCCAGTATGTGTATAATGAATGTGAGTTAGGGACCTTAGATTGTACACCACTTGAGGGTTAGGGACTGATGTGAATGTACAATATATGTATGTAAAGCACTGCATAAATTGATGGTGTGATCAGGGGCAGACTGACAATTCATGGAGCCCCCTAGCAATAGGGGATCATGGGGCCCCTGTGTCCTTTCCCAAACTCAAAAAAGCCTATGAAAAAGGTACCAGGGGCATCTCATGGGGCCCCCTACTGACCCGGGCCCTGGGACAGTGCCTGAGTTTCCAAATGGTCAGCCCGCCCCTGGGCATGATATAAGTACCTGAAATGAACAAATAAAGGAAACTTAAACTTGTATGGCTAGCTTCAGAGTATTCTGAGTTTACTGCAATGATAGGTATGGAGGAACTCATAGCTACAGAATCTCACTACAAAGCACTGAAAAGGAATTAAAGAAGTAGCTTAGACATGCTGGAGCTGATAGTTCCATATTGACTATTTGGAAACTGCTGGAACTTGTAGTTCCTTTTGGCTGGCACTGCTGTCTAATGGGACTTGGAGTTCCTTACCTTTATTGTTTTGCTGAGAGCTGCTGGGATGTGTAGGTACTTCCCTTTTGGTGTACTGCTAAGAACTGCTGTAGTTCCTCTATTGACCCATATTACAATGGAAATAGTCATTTTAATCCCTGTTGAGGATTACTATGGTCTGACAGGTCACTGGTGTTGCTGTTTTTTCTGGAGTTAGACTATCGGGAGACTCCCCCAGATCCTCATTGTGAATTATTGGCCCTGGGACCCTAACTCATCCTGCTCATCCTAACTCCTAACTCATCCTAGTCCTTTCCTAATCCAGTTCTTCTCCCATTTCTGTGTACCCACAATAAACACCCTGCAGGTGAGGCATGTGTGATAAGCCTTCATGCGCTCTCTCTGTGCACTCCTAGTTCATCACAGCTGTCATTTACCATCCCTGACCTTTCCTGTTAGACCGGCAAAAAGTTATGACAAATGACTTGTAGTTTTGTGACACAATCAGGGAGCAGTACAAAGACTGATCTTATCTACTGCCTACAACTGACTCTGCACAAAATAAATGAAGCAATACACATACAACAGAATTATTAGGCTAAACATATAAAGGAAACAGTAACATTCAGTTGCCTTTTTTAATGTTTCATACCTGGCAGGATTTTCAGACCATGTATAATTTCCTTGCGTCGCTCTTGCACAGAGAAGCGGTCATCGCAAACCAACAGTGCAAACATGACCAGTGTTACAAACTGGCTAGTGTATGTCTGTTCAAAGAGAAAGGCTCCTGTAAATCTTTACATAGAAGAACCAAAACTCACACTCCAGCTAGTATTGCCAAATCAGTCAGTGTGAAGGGGCATTGTTGTGGGTTGTCTCTTCTATTCTATCTCGGAGAAAAAAAAATAAATAAATTACGTGGGACTTTTAAGGCATAAATACATAGACTTAAAAATATATGAAATCTTTATTTTCCATCAACTTTTCACACATATAAAAGAGATAGAATGATAACTATTTTCCAAAAATCATAATATATCATGGCAAAACACATCAAAAGATGTTGTTTGGTTACAGAAATGGTCTTATAATAAGCTGAGACTCTGCACAAAGGGGATATAGTAACATAGAGGAGTAAAAAGAAAAATTGATATATCTTCAACCGAACTTAAAAGCAAGGTTATAGTTTGCTGCTACTTCTGCTGGGAAGTAGCAGCAAACTATAAACTTGTTTTTAAGTTCGATTGAAGATTTATCTATTTGTCTTTTTACTCCTCTATGTTACTATATCACATTTGTGCAGAGTCTTTTCCCTGAGGAAGGAGTAGAGTTACTCCGAAATGCGTCGGTTTATTAAGACCATTTCTGTACTCAAACAACATCATTTGATGGTGATGTCATGATATCTTATGATTTTTGGAATATAGTTGTCATTCTATATCTATTATATGTGTAAAAATGTGATGGAAAATAAAGACATATATTTTAAGTTGATGTATTTATACCTTAAAAATCCCACGTAATTGGGGGGGGTTCTCCTATATATTCACTCAATATTCTCAATATTTTTTTCTTTTTTCTTTCTTCTATTCTGTCTCAGACATCCAGTACATATGGGAACAGCCAGATAGCACATACATGAACCAAATTACATTCTCTGGCAATCACCTTGATACCAACTGGGCTCATAAAGCCATCGTATTCAAGTCTTTGGTCCACTCTATGGTTAACTAGAATTGCCAAATCAGTCAGAGTGAAGGGACATTGTTGTGGGCTGTCTCTTTATATAATCTTGGACATTTGGGTTCCATCCAGTGCATGTGGGAACAGCTAGATAACAAATACATGAACCAAAAGACTAATTCTCTGGCAATCACCTTTGATACCACCTGGGCTCATAAAGCCATCTTATTCAAGTCTTTGGTCCACTCTATGGTTAACTAGAATTGCCAAATCAGTCAGAGTGAAGGGACATTGTTGTGGGCTGTCTCTTTATTTAATCTTGGACATTTGGGTTCCATCCAGTGCATGTGGGAACAGCTAGATAACAAATACATGAACCAAAAGACTCATTCTCTGGCAATCACCTTTGATACCACCTGGGCTCATAAAGCCATCTTATTCAAGTCTTTGGTCCACTCTATGGTTAACTAGAATTGCCAAATCAGTCAGAGTGAAGGGACATTGTAGTGGGCTGTCTCTTTATTTTAATCATGGACATTTGGGTTTCATCCAGTACATGTGGGAACAGCTAGATAACAAATACATGAACCAAAAAACTCATTCTCTGGCAATCACCTTTGATAGCACCTGGGCTCATAAAGCCATCTATTCAAGTCTTTGGTCCACTCTATGGTTAACTGCCAAATCAGTCAATGTGGGTTGCCTCTTTTTTCTACCTTGGTCTTCAATGTGGGTTTCCTCTTTATTCTATCTCTCAGAAATTTGAGTTTCATCCAGTTTATAAGGGAACAACCAGATATCAAATTATGCTAATGATGAAACAAATTACTAATTCTCTGGCAATCAGCTGCGATACTAACTGAGCTCTATATGCCATCTTACTCATGTCTTTGATCCACCCTATGGTTAACGTGTGAAGGTATCCACACAGCTTACAATAAGACTGTACAATCATCTTTAAATGTACTAGCTACTATATGGTGTGATGGTTTACCATACTGCATCGAAATGTAATGGATTGTTTAAGCAGGACTTTGTACTGCATACCTGTTGGTAAATTTAGAGAAGATTCTACAGATTTTTTAAAATCATGTTGTAACATGTGATGCCAGCTTTCACACGCTCTTATTTTATGTGTCACACCAGTGCTCACCTTTGTGCTAGCCACACCAATCTCAGGCCCGGCATTAATGTGGACACCACAGTCTGTCTCCTTGGAGATGGAGCTGCCAATGGAGTTAGTGATCCCCACTGTGAGGGCTCCCCGTTCTTTGCAGTAATGCAGGGCAAGAAGAGTATCTGCTGTTTCCCCTAAAGGAAAGCAAAGAGAAAAAGGATAACTAATACTTCAAATATGGACAATAGAAAAGAGTTTTTAGCCACAACTAATAGTGTGATTTTTTTCTTTTCATCTATTAAACACGAGTTACAGTGTTCACTTCGGGTACCATCATCCACAGTACTTTTCCTTTTGAATTCAGTAGGTCCTGCAGAGATCTGGATGGATATTTAGCCACTCATATTGAAGGTTATGCACAGCAAGATAAACATATAAAAACACATGGAAAGGAAAAGTGCAGGTATAACCAACACCAAAGTGTCCATGGGTAGCTCCAAATGGTGGTGATGGATTAAAGCTTTATTCATCTTTTTTTTTAATTGCCGAGAAAACATCCAAACTGTGTATAAAGAGACAATCAAATTATGTCATACCTCTCATAGATGATTCCCGGTGGTCCATTGATCCACGGACAGTGTTATCTCAGTGACAGATATATGTACTGTATGTAGGGAAGGGGGGGTATACTACTTTTTTCTCAGCTATCACATTTATTTATTTATTTATTACACATTTTATTCAAATGAAAAAAAGGAAGGTTCGAGGCAGTCAACTACATAGGTAATGAAAGAAACATCAGAATACAAGACATGACTTCCACGACTGTGCAAAATAACTTAGATACATTACAGACATATAAAGAGGTTGCATCTGGTAGAGTAAGGAAACAAGTAAAACAGCAAGGAGAGGAAGACCTCATATCAGTGCTTCAAGGATGGGCACGGTGCACAAACCGTTGAGTTCGCACCCACCTGTGTATCACATTTATTTAAAGTGTTACTAAACCCAGGACCCTGCATTCACTCTATCTGGTCTCCTACAGTACACAGAACATGGAAATGCAATTATTTTAGCAAATCTAAACTGCTAAATACCTTTTCTCATTAACATTTAGAGCAATCTTGTGACTTCTATCAGTGTCTGGCCGAGCACATGTTAAAGCTTGTAGGAGGAGTTTTCTTTCTGCTCTAAGATGATGCAGGACACCTGACCTCTGTCTGGAGTGCTAATTACCCTGTGCTGATCACATGCACTCTCCCAAGAAAAAAAAAAACTCTAACAATCACACCAAACTGAGCATACCTCTCTAGCAATACACACCAAAGTGAGCATATGCAGAGTGTCTCCACATGATATGTCTTATCAGGAGACAAGAGGGGGCACTGGAAGAAGGGGAGAATCACAGAAACCAGGATCGATCAAACAGCATTTTTAAAATTACAGAGGATTAACCCCTTTGGTTCCGTAGTGAGCAGGGGCGGACTGACCATTCGAGCACTAGGGCACTGCCCGAGGGCCCGGGGTCAGTAGGGGGCCCCATAAAATGCCCCTGGTACCTTTTATAGGCTTTTTTGGGTGTGTTTTGAGTGTGGGCAAGGACACAGGGGCCCCATGATCCCCAATTGCCCAGGGGCCCATGAGTTGTCAGTCCGTCCCCTGATAGTGAGCATAACAAGCATGCTTTACTGCATTTACAGACTGATTTTACTGTTGCGGGTTTATTAACACTTTAACTAAAAGCTATGATATATGCACCCTTTTTATTAGATTTTGTGAATGATTGTGATAAAAGATTAATATTTTGTGATTTCCTAATTGTTATATATTGTTAGGAAAAGGTGTATGCATACTGGATGACAACGATTCTCATTAAATGACCAAGTGATGAGAATACCATACCTGATTGACTGATGAAGAAGCACACATCGTCTCTGAATACAGGAGTGCTCCTGTCCAAGAAGTCACTAGCCAATTCCACCATGACTGAAAGCTCTGTGAGCTCTTCAAGGATCTGACGTGTCTGTGGGGAAGATATAAGAACATCATTAATATGGAGAACTGTCAATAATCATTAGTTATTTTTGCCTAGAACCCTAAGAAGCAAGTTTAACTCCTAAGAACAACCAAAAGAATAAATGCAACCTACTGCCACAGAGAAAATGTTAACAGCACGAGGCTTTAATGCACTAAGAAAAGTTTGTAATGTGCTTATACCATGAGCTATACAATGGGTTGATGGGTAATGACTGGAAACACCTTAAAGTGTATCTAGAACCAAACATTAAAAAAGGGCAAGAACCCCTGTCAGGTTCTTAGTGCTATCTATGCCCCACTGGTCACCCTCTTATTTTGTCCTGATAACCGCTGTCAACAGGACTGAAAGCAAGAGAAAATCCAAAATTTTAAATTTTGGTAACAGGAATAGGGAAATCTTTCATAGGGCACTTGTTCAGGTGATAACTGTCTAAGAGAAGATTTATCTTCCTTTAGTGGGATCTCCTCTTGCTGCCTGTTGTGTCTTGTGACAGGAGAGAAATGGGACATTTGCCCAATGGTGTAGCGTGGATTGCCAGCACCTGGGCAAGGTAAGTACTGTATCCCCTAACTTGTGGATTGTTAGCACTCCCTGAGCCTATTTCTTCAGAATATAGAGAACAAATCCTCTCCCTCCATTTAGCACAAAACCTCCCCCTTCCAATCCTTTCCTTCTGCAATAAATTATTCCCCCCCTTCATCCATCCCTCTCCACACCCTTGCATAAATCCTCTCCCCTCCCCAATTGCCCTCCAGTACAAAATCCTCAACTTACCTTACAAAGGTCACTCCTCTGAGCATAAATCCACCTCCAGAAATAATATTTGTTAATCCCCCCCCCCCAAGTCACATGGCCCCCAAGTGCAGTTTTCCCTCTCTGAAACAGATCTCAGATCAACTCAGCTCAATACAGGGGGACATCTCTCGTCCTGACTTATTCTCCTGTGCATGATACATGTCAGAGTTGAAGAGGAGCCTAGCTTCCCTCTACTCTGACGTGTATTGCTACAGGACACTGATGGAGAGAAGAGCCAGCTGCTGCACAGGGGAAGATTGCACCGCTAGGGACCTGGGACATCCCACAGGGGATGCAGGGCAGGTGCCCTGGGTGCCTGGTGCTAGTAAACCCTTCAGGTGAATTTGTGGAGCCAAGTTTCCGGAAACTTGTTCAGGCACTGGTCTTCAGACTCAGCCCAGATCCACATGACGCCAGGATTTTGTTGAAATCTCAAGATGGTCCAGCACAATCCGGGACAGTTGGGAGGTATGATTTTGCTCCCCTAAGAATTTTGGAGAACACAGAACCATTCACATCAATCCCCCAAGCAGGGGGCGGACTGACCATTTGGAAACTCAGGCACTGCCCGAGGGCCCGAGGTCAGTAGGGGGCCCCATGAGATGCCCCTGGTACCTTTTTCATAGGCTTTTTTGAGTTTGGGCAAGGGCACAGGGGCCCCATGATCCCCTATTGCCCGGGGGCCCCATGAGTTGTCAGTGCACCCCTGCCCCCAAGGGTACTCGCAGTCTTACATTCCTATCATACACACAGTTTAAGCAGAAGACAAACAGCTTGTCAGTATGTTTTTGGATTGTGGGAGGCAACCAGTAATTTTTGAGAACACAATCATTCACATCAATCCCCCAAGGGTACTATCAGGCTAACATTCCTATCATAGACACAGCTAAAGCAGAAGACAAATAGCTCATCAGTATGTTTTTGGATTGTGGGAGCTAACCAGTAACCCCATGAAAACTGACATGAACACAGAGTGTTCAAAATACTAAGGGTAATAAACACTTACAGCAACTCCAGCATGGTAACTAGTTGCACAGGCAATGAGGATTAGCCGTCGACATCTTTGAATTTCTTTGATGTGATCTTTCAGACCTTCCAATTTTACTGTTAAAAATATAAAAATAAAATAAAGGAGCACTGTCAGAACAGATTCAATCTAGGGGTTCTTGTATCAGGCCCCTTTCAAACTTGTATTAGAGTCTGAAGAGCACACAGACAGTGACGTAAAAGAAGACAGCTCAGCATATTGTCAGATAGATTTCCAGGTAGAATGGGCACATCTGGGACAATAATCATATTCATAGGAAAACAGCATCAAATATATGCTGCAGCATGACACTGATACTTGATTAAAGTTGGCAATACATGGTTAGATTTTCATTTGAATGTTTGTATGAAATGCAGAAAAAATGTTCATTAGAGCAATAAATGATGCCAGTCAACTAATTTTGTTCGAAGGCCCTTAAAAATTTTGTCCAGACTGGCTACTTGAATGGACTCCCAGATAACTGAAACAAGTTTCTTTTATTGCTTATTATATCATTGAAAGTATAATGCAAAGCAAAGTTTATTTAAATATTTTTATATAAGTATATTGCATTTAGAAGTATATTTTTAGATATGATTATCTGACAATGGGATTGTAGAGAAAATATATATTAGAATCTACTAATAAATCCAATTTTGTATACACTGTACAGAAACTTGGTTCTTTCATACATTCCTATATCATACATTCGTGACCATGAAGTTTCGAATTCTGGAATAAACTTTTCCTGGCATAAGTGCATTACAATAGGTATGATTTTTTCATAACTCAGGACCACATTAATAGTTAGAATTTTTCTTGTTCATAAAAGAAGTTAGAACATTTTTCCATCCTTCTGCTTTGATATTTCTTTTCACTTTGGTCAAGAACAATTGTCAACGTGTCCCTTTTAACCACTGGAGAGTCGAACTAACATTCACAAATGAAACATTTTCAACAAAATTCAAAATTCTGTGTGTGGCCAGTTTTAGTACTTCTGTGTACTGAACCCTGAGTTAATATACTTTACCTGATCTGCTCTGGGCACTATGGGGATCTCAGCGGCTGCCAGGATAGCCTACCAATTATTTGTCCTTAAAGAGGAGGTCTGGTTGGAATTGACAAAAAAATAAGTCAGCAGCTAGAAAAGCTGTAGCTGCTGACTTTTAAAAAAACAGACACTCACCTATTCCAAAATCCCATGCTGTCCTCACACCGGCCGGGTTGGCCGACTGTCCTGTCTCTTCGGCACCGTCATCTTCAGTGTGGGCTCCGGGCTGTGACAGCTTGCAGCTTCACAGCCAGGTGCCCACTGAACATGCGCGAGAAGCGCTGCGCTTTGTGAATGGCCCCGTAGTCTTCTGGGACCTGTCACGTGTCCCAGAAGACTACAGGGAGGGAGCGGGGGACAACCTTAACTTCGGATTGCCTAGGCGATTGCAGCGGAAGTGGGAGCAGGTACCTGTTAAACTCAGGTACCCCCCAACCCGCTCCCCAAAGGTGCCAATCCTTAATGGGGAGCAGGGGACAAAGCTTTAAAGTGGAACTTCCCCTTTTGGATGGAGGTCCACTTTAATGACTAGATTCATTTAAGAACATTTGTATTTCAAGGACACTTCAGCTCTGCTAATGAATATCATCTAATCATTCTTAACGTTACTTTAAAGATGCACAAGCCTCCACATTTCCATGTAGCCATGCCTCCAGAATTGGTCTATAAAATTACTTTGGCAATAGAAATACTGCTTTTTAATAATTTTAAAAAGAAAATCTACATATAAATAAATGCAGAATACATTAATGGAGAACCCGTACTGTGTAATATGTAAAAATTTAAAATATTGAGTATATCCCTCAATCCTAAACTCCTAATCCTAGCAACTCTCATTATGATGAATACCTCATGCACACTGATCTTAAAAAACACTGCTTTTACAGGCGTTTGGCGTTATTTTTTTTCAGCCTGTAAAAGCACCTCTATGTTAGCCTATGTGTCCATGCACACAAAGGCAATTACAAGCATATTAAAGGAGGCATGTTTACAGGCTGAAAAAAAACATCACCAGTGCGTTCCAGAGAGGAGCTGAAGAGCAGAAAAAAAATAGTTGCACATAGACGCATCTAAATGCGCCTAAACGCTAGACATTTGGGCGTTCATGCATTCCAATGGTCAGAATAAATTAATATCCTGGCCAATAGAGTTCCTTAATGGTCAAACGCTTGACGTGCCTAAACACATATGCAATACATCGCTTTGGGTACATTGTTTAAGCTGCTTTTTCCTGCCAGGAGTAAAAGGCATTCAGAGAAGAAAATCTAAATGCTTTCCCAAAAGCAAAAAATATCCTGCATTCTTACCTGTTAGGTCATCAAAATTGACTCGCCCTTTCATTGTGTTGATTACGGACTCTGGCTGCTCAAAGATTTCTTTCTGCATGAAAGATCTAAAGTTGTCTGTAAGTTGAGCAAGAGCAAAAAGAGAACGTGAATGTTTAATTCATTCAAAGTCATCAGTACCACTAATACAAAAATATCCTCTAAACAAGCCTGCAAACATCACCGCTGTATTTATCCTTCACTGCATACCTGGTTGCTGGGTCGCTGTACCTTTCTAGGGTCATGTTTGGTCCTTCTTCTTTACCCGTATATCCATTCATCACTGCTCCACTACACTGTTGTCAATAATACGTGTCCTCCTTTGACAAGCCTCCTTTGACTTTTATCCTCCTTTGACAAGCCTCTTTTTCTTCCTCCTCTGTTTGTAGTCACACCTCCAAAGTTTGTGCTTCACCTCAATTCTGATACTGCTTACATCATCACAGGAGACTATCCCCACGTTCATACATTTCACATATTTCTTCTCACTTGTCATGCATGACATTTTCAAGACAGATTGAATCCAATCTCACCTAACTGGTCGTGTCCTTTTTGTGTTCACACCTTTTACTAAATATGTAGGACACATCTTGCACATACCAGCTTAATTACAAGCTCCTACGTCTTTTCTATTAGGCTTCCTTAACAAGCAAGTGTTACACCTGGAGTGTCCTTCACAATGCTACATTCAGACCGACAAATATCTGCAGCTGGTTTGCTGCCATCGGAGGTGGCTAAATGTCACACAGCAATATTCTGTGCTATAGCTGCATACAAAGTGGCCGATTACCTGCAGCCAGTTTGTGTATGGGCAAAACTCAGCAGAAACATCAATCCTGGAAGCGCATTGGATATGTCCAGGGTCAGTTGGCGGTTCAACTTGCCTTTAACTGTTCAAATAATTGATTACATTCAAATAGCAGAGGTGCCTGATACTGTTTAGTTTACAGCCGCCAGTAAGAATCTACTGATTTGATTGCCACCTCCGGCCACCCCTCATCTGATAGTAGCTTGAAAGCAGAGTTCGCACAAAAGTGAAAGCTCTGCATATGTGCCTCCTCCCCCCCCTCCGCTGCCACATTTGACACCTTTTGGGGGAGAGGGGTACCTGGTTTTGAGAGGTATCCGCTCCCACTTCTCACTCAGTCTGCTGTGTCGAACTGAAGTTCAACCCCCCGTGCACCGCAGCCCTCTGGGAAACTCAATAGGTCCCAGAGGACTGCGGCCCATTCACAAAGTGCAGTGCGCTTGGCGCATCCACAGCAAAAAACCACCTGTGAAGCTGCAAGGCTTCACTGCCAGTTTTTCTCAGTCAAGATGGTGGCAACAGCATCTGACAGCCAACTGAAGAATCAGCTTGGGGTGAGGACACCGCTTGATCCCTGAACAGGTAAGTGCCCTAATATTAAAAGTTAGCAGGTACAAATACTATTTGTAGCAGCTGACTTTTAATTTTTGTTTTGGGGGGGTGAATGCCGGAACTCCACTTTAAGGAACCAATCTGCCATTTTCATGCAAAACTAACCAAAAGTGGAAATGGTGTCTGGGGATGAAAAACAAACTGCAAACTAATTTCAGGCAGAGAACCTGTAAAGCAAATACCTGCACTATCATTTCCAACCCCCTTCCCAAGCTGATCATTAAAACGGAGTTCCACTCACACTGTCAAAAAATAAAAGTCAGCAGCTACAAAAACTGTAGCTGCTGACTTTTAAAAAACAGCCACTTACCTGTCCCTCGGTCCCGTGGTGTGTCCCCCGCAGCCCATTACACCGGCCGTCCTGTATCCCTGGAGCCTGGCATCTTCAGTGTAGGCACCCGGCTGTGATAGCTTGCGGCTTCACAGCCGGGTACCCACGGCGCATGCGCGAGTAGTGCTGCTCTTCATGAATGGTCCTGTAGTCTTCTGGGACCTGTCACGTGTCCCAAAAGACTACAGGGAGGGAGGACACCTTCCACTTCCAATCGTGTAGGCGATCGGACCGGAAGTGGGAGCAGGTTCCTGTCAAATTTGGGTACCCGCTCTCCCCCCCAACCCCCAAAGGATCCAATCCTTAATGGGAAGCGAGAGAGCAGTCCTTAAAGCAGAACTTCCCCTTTTGGGTGGAGCTCCACTTGAATATGAGCAGCAACAATGAAAGAAACTAAATTAATATTTCAAATACAAATCACCCAGTACGTCATTTGTAAGAGTTTTCAGCTCATTGTGTGAAATATACCACAGCAAAATCCTCTACATCCGCTCTTGCAGTAGCACAGCTAAATAAACATCACAAAACAATAATGCAGCGCAAAGATATATAAAAATGTACAGTATGTGCAATACAATAGTGCAATGCAAATATAGCAAACTCTTATGTATCACCACAAACTGAATAAAACAACGGAATCTAAATGTGAAGCCAAAAACTGTGAATTCAGTGGTTTTTCGATTATGAGGGAAATGACAGATGTGGATACCAAACACCATCAAACTTCTTAATGATAAACCACACAGCACCTCGGTGTACAACAAAGGGAGGCTAACCAGAATTATGTGACCCCCAGTTAAGAGTGGTCAACCAGCACTTGTGTATCAATCCAAGATATCCAGCTTTCCTCAAAACCACATGTCAAACGATGGTACAGCTGTGTTAAAATAGATCGCTGTGCATATATACTCAGTTGGACATAGTATCATGAAAAAGAAAAAGAAACGTTCTCCATAGTGTAATCCCAATTAAAACACAATTTAATGTGATAAATGCATTTACAATGGAAAGATGGCAACCAGGTACTTCATATCATATAAACAACTCATGTTGTGTGGTGTGTGTTCCATCTCTACACAACTTGGTCAAGAACACACCCTCAGTTTACTAATAGGACAATGAGCAACCGCATATAAACCTGCTCATCATGCTGCCCCTCCCAGTCTGAGCTCTGTGGTACAGGGGAAAATAGGAGGTGAATTCAGCTACCTACCCGCATGGGAGAAAAATATATTTGAAATATATTTTAAAAATATTCTTCCCAAATATATTGACATATATTTGAAATGCTACAATTTTGGCGATATTCAATATATTTCAAAATGTATTTCAGTAAATAGATATATTTATTTACTGCATGTTGAAATGCGTTTTTATTACAAAATATATAAAAAATATTTTTAAAAATAGATTTCAAATATACTGTATGTCTTTTAAAATACAAATCTACATTTTTGGAATGCATTTACAAATATATGTAAAAATATATGTTAAAATGACTTTTTTATGTTAAAAAACTGAAGAATATATTTAAAAATGTAAATATATTCTTCAGATTTTTTTTAACATATAAAAAAGTCATTTTAAAATATATTTTTACATAAATTTGTAAATGCATTCCAAAAATGTAGATTTGTATTTTTAACCACTTCCCGTCCGGCCCATGTATATAATCGGCCAGACGGGAGCAGTGCAGGTTGGCAGGTGGCCGTTTATAAACGGCCTCCTTGCCTCCTGCTTGTGCACGCTCCCTGGGAGCACACGGCACCTCGATCCGGTGCCCGCTGTGTCCTCTGGACACAGTGGAACACTGATCATTGTACGGGACCTCTGTGTGAGATCCCGATCATGTGATCACTGATGGCCCAATCAGTGATTACATGAAGAGTAGTAAGCAAGATGTTACTTCTGAAATCATTGCTTACTACGTGTGAAATCTTTGACTGATCACAGAGGTCACATATTACATGGCTATTCACAACTGCCTTGTACCATGTGACAAGCTGTGACCAATCACAGCTCACACAGTATTTCTCAATGGCTGCAAGAATGCAGCCAGAGAGAAGGAGAAATGATTGCTTTTACAGTCTTTATGGGTGTAAAAGCAATCAGTGTAAACAAAAAAAAAAAATCTTCATAACCCCCCCACAAGTAGTACAGTGCCACTATGGTGACACTGTACTGCTAGTGTGACAGTATGTAAAAAAAAACAAACAAAAAAAAAACAAATAATAATATAAAAAAATAAAATAAATATGTAAACAAAATTTAGAATAATTATAATTTTTGGATATAAACTAATTTGGGTTAATATTTTTTTTACTAAAAAGATAACTGAATACATTTTGGCCAAGATTTATGAAGAAAGATTATTTATTTGCAAACTTTTATAAGAAAAACACTTTCTTTCAAAATTTGTGGACTTTTCATTTATATAGCAAAAAAAAACCCCAGTGATGAATAAATACCACTAAAATAAAGTTTTATCTGTCTCAAAAAAATGCTAAAAAATTCATATGGGTACAGCATGACCGTGCAATTGTCATTCAAAGTGTGATAGCACTGAAAGCTGAAAATTGGCCTGGACAGGAAGGGGGTAAAAGTGTACGGACTTGAAGTGGTTAAAGACATTCAGTATGTTTTTAAATGTATTTTTAAAAATATTGTTCATATATTTTGTATTAAAAACGCAATTCAGCATGCAATATATATATATATATATATATATACAGTGGGGCAAAAAAGTATTTAGTCAGCCACCAATTGTGCAAGTTCTCCCACTTAAAAAGATGAGAGAGGCCTGTAATTGGCATCATAGGTAGACCTCAACTATGAGAGACAAAATGAGAAAAGAAATCCAGACAATCACATTGGCTGATTTGGAAAGAATTTATTTGCAAAATATGGTGGAAAATAAGTATTTGGTCAATATCAAAAGTTCATCTCAATACTTTGTTATATATCCTTTGTTGGCAATGACAGAGGTCAAACGTTTCCTGTAAGTCTTCACAAGGTTGGCACACACTGTTGCTGGTATGTTGGCCCATTCCTCCATTCAGATCTCCTCTAGAGCAGTGATGTTTTGGGGCTGTCGCTGGGCAACACGGACTTTCAACTCCCTCCAATGGTTTTCTATGGGGTTGAGATCTGGAGACTGGCTAGGCCACTCCAGGACCTTGAAATGCTTCTTACGAAGCCACTCCTTCATTGCCCGGGCAGTATGTTTGGGATCATTGTCATGTTGGAAGACCCAGCCACATTTCATCTTCAATGCCCTTGCTGATGGAAGGAGGTTTGCGCTCAAAATCTC